TCACCTCTAAAGGCTTTATAGGTCTTCAATTTCATTGGCACAAATGAGGACATGATTGAGTTGTTGAGAGGCATGAGCATATATTATTTGTGAGGTCAAATGACATGCATCCCTCCATCCGAAATTATTATTTTATCATATGATGCTCATTCATTAAAATATAGAGATATATTGGTATTTATAATAATAAATCCTAATTCATTAAAGACTTATCTTGCTGCTTGAATTTATAATCCTAATACTCCATGTAATTTGAATACTTTGAAACACTTGCCAACCCCAATATTGAACTATATTTCTTATACCATAATATTCATTATTACAAATCATAATTGACTCTTATCATAGGGTTACATGTTTATGATTATGCATAATCTTAATTTTTTAATGAGAATTTCTAAGAATGATCCAAATCCTAGTTGCAACCATTTATATATTCTCTCGCCTACAATGGCCTCTACTAGGAATATGTATAGAGTTATATCTCATATAAGATATCACTTTGGATTACTATTCAGGTAATGCTCATTTTATCTTTTTATATATGAGTACTATTCATTATAGAAACGAGCTCAGAGTTGTCTCATATATCATATATTTAAAAAGAGTTCACAAATGTGCTTATAGATGAACCAATTAAATATACTCTATCAAAATAGGGATATCAATAGGTTAGAATGTTTCCCTCGTTCCCACCCCATTCCCCATTTCCCATTTAGATGGGATAGGGGAGCGGATGGAGAATCTCTACTAGGGACGAGAAACATGTGGAATTTTCATATTCTTCTAATTAATTAATTTTATTTTTTAAAAATAAAACTATTATAAAAACTAATTAATTATACTAAAATTTATAAATAATAAAAATAATATTTATAAAGTTTACATATTACAAGAATATTCAAAAATAAATATATCCAAATATAATCACAACCAAATAAATACAAATATGTCCAAATAAATCTATACTTTAATAATTTTCTTCATTAATTTTATTAAAAAATAAAATATATATCAATTACCTCACAATCATCTTTATCCTCTTCAAATGATATGCAACATTTCAAATAAGCTATTAAATATTAATTTATTACATAAGAAAGAACATTTAAGAATTAATACTAAAAATAGAAATTAAAGTATTTTCATTCAAACTAAAGTTCATACCATAACTAGTCTTGAACTTTTGATGAAATATTTTATTTATTTATTTATTATTTATTTATAAAATTTATAAATATACTAAAAATTATATACAAGATTAGTTTAGTGGTTAATGTTGGAATGTTGTAGTTATAGGTATTTGGTTCAATTCTCAAATATTTATTTATATTATTAATAATATTATATTATATATAATAGAATAATATGAACGGGATGACGAATACACTATCAAACCTTATTCGATAACCATGTGAGTAATAGAAAATATTCCATATCCCCACCCCATTTGGTGTGAGTCCCTACGTTACGATATAATTAACATCTCTACCTTCAAGCAAATATAGAAACTTATTTTCTTCAAAGAAGTCAAAATATAATTTATTTAATTATCTTTGATATTATTGTAATTTATTTATTCTTATAAAAGGGGCCAAAAAATTGTGATAGAATCATTAAAATAATGGGTTAATTAATTGAATCCTTTTTTGGCATTTCATGTTTGTGGTGTGAAGCCACATCTAATTTTTCAATGATATAATTTAATTGTTCATGTATGCAAAGATTTCTCTTTTTAAGAAAGAGTGTGTCTAGTAATTATCTTTTTTCTATTATCTTCTCATTACTATCTTTCTCTTCTCCTCTTTCTATTTCGCTACTATAAAAAAAATCTCACTTTTAGTTGTCATACAACAGGTTTTATATAAGAGCTTTTGGTTTAGCCAAGATATTCGTTGATCTATATATCAATTATACACTTAGGAAGATTTCCTATGTGGTAGAAGTAAATTCTATTCGTTTTCATTTAACTAAAATTTCTATTTGTTTAAGGAGTCTTTTACAAATTCTTTAAATTGCCACATGATGTTGTTTTCTAGATTGACTATGATGAAGAAAAAATAATAATAATTAAAAAAGGACAAAGAATAATCTAGTGGGAAAACAATAAAGTATCATGAAAAGGAAGATCATTTGGCAGGATGAACCTGGAAACATTTCTTCTCCAAAGAATGTAAAAAAAATTATTCATTTGATTAGTCTTGATATGCTTGCACTTTTTTCTTATTAATTATTTTCTTTTCTTCTTGTACATGGGTCTATAAAAACGGGCCATAACATTGTAATGAGTTGATAAATTATTTATTCTTCTGACAGTAGTAATGTTTTATAAATTTTTTTTGATAAATTATTCTCTTCCTTTCTTACAATTTCTCTTTTATAAAAAGTATTTCACTATTATCAATTCAACCTCATATCTTATCAACCCCCCACGATGGGACATTTTCTTGGAGTCAACTTGCAATAGGGGAAGATTTTGCCCTAAGACAATGTCCTACACGATTCTGCACTCATCTTCTATTTCTTTATCTTATATTTAAATTTGATTTCTTAATTAATTATAGTCTAGTATTAGTTTATGTTTCAAAAATATATTTTTAGAAATGAGGGGAAAAATAAAAATTTTCATTACTCTTCTCATTAGTACCTTTTTCTTAATGTTTTGGTATTTACAATGTTATTTATTGATATTCAATCTTTTGGGTTGTTAAGGACAAAAAAATTATTTACCAGGGACTTCCTTATAATACCTAATCATCCAAATTTTCTTTCTCGTTTTGCATGGGGCCAACATCCAACCTGATTTTTATTCCTTTCTCTTATATTTGAAAATTTAATTTTGTTGATTATCATTAAATTAAACATATATAACTGGATTAGCTTCTGATGAGTTCTTGCATCATTTTATAATTTTTGATGCTAATCGATGCTGCATTTTATAGTTATGTATTTGTTAATAATATTCTGCTAATGGTTAATCCTTTGCAATTTGCTATGATGTTCATGCACCTCACTAACATAATATTTTGCACATTTTATCAAAAAAATAAATTAATACTACTGATAAAAATATTGTTTCCATTGAACTTCTGCTGGTAAAAAGAAAAACCCTAAAAATTTGTTTGTATAATTTTTTGTAATAATTAAAATTCTACTAAAGTATTTTTCTGTTTAGAAATTATTAGAAAAATCAAATCCAAGATGTAACCTTTTGCTGAATTTTTTAATACCAACTTGGTTATTTAATTAATTTTATATTTTAAATTTCAGAATTTGAAGGTTTCAGAATTACCAATTTTGAAATATTCCATTATTTAAAAAAACTTCAAATTCCGAAATTTAACAAAAGACCTTTCTACAATTTCATTCCTTATCAAAATTTCCATATAACTGCTTCAAACAAAAAAAAAATCAGTCTTTTCTGTTTTAGGAACAACCAAATCCAGTGCATGTAAGTCAAAAAGGAAAGTTTGAAATCCTTTTTGACTTTTCTTTTAAAGTATATTAAAAATTAATTACTAAATTTGTTATAAGAAATCTATTTTAAAGAAGCAAACTTATTCTAAAACTTTGGTAAATCTATTTATGAAAAATGGATTATTGAAATATTTTAATGCAAGAAATGGATTATTGAAATAAATCTATTTATGAAAAATGGATTATTGAAATAAACTTCTGATGACCAAAAATACAGGTCCTTCAAGAAGGACAATTATTCATACCCTTCTTCTCTTGAAGCTTGTTGCATTTTGTGTAAACAACTTGGTGGGCACAGGGGAAGGAAGACAACCTACATCTCTTCAGAGTGGCACGTAACACATTCGTGTTCACGCTGTAGTTCTTCAGATGCCAATTCCTGAGTATATATATCCATGAACTTGGCCAATATACTGGAGTTGTTACTTCTCTTTCCAACCATAAATAGGATGCATGAGGTTGCAGAAGGCTAGATAAATAAGAATCTTAGTATAACATACCTGACTGATGCTATATTATTTATACTCATTTTTGTGATTTTGTCTTTCTTCAGATACTCTATTTGTTTACTGTATGAAATTTACGACGTAGATTCCACAAAGAATATAGTTTGAATGAACTTAATCTTAATAGAACTGATACTTATTTCTGTTGGTCACCAGCTGATGTAATATTGGATTCTAGAGAAAGCTTCAGCTTTGTGATGTTATCAGGTGTTTGTGCAGCCCAGATATTATATTGTTCGTTTGGAGAACTATTTCTTTGGTCATTATTGGTGAATTCATAAATATTTACGGCTCAGTAGTACATGTTTTATTTTGTGGTGTATAGAAGCTTGAACACTCATGATAGATAGCTTATTTCATCATAGTTGTGCTCATTGTATTATGCGATACATTGGTCACACAACATGCACATGTTTCACATATTCTCATATCAATTCCGTAAAACAAGTAAATATATAGTGGCTTTGACAGTATGGTCTCGTTTAACAGTTGCAAAGTCAGTGGATCATCCAGACTGCGTATGAGTTTTTGTTTTTCTTCTTTTGCCAAGGCAAAGAAACTATTTGCAAAGTGAAACATCTGAGCTATGCCGGACAAAATCCCCATTCCAAGGAAATTAGATTTGATTAGTAGCTAGCAATAATTACAGCATGAAATCCATCTCAGGTGGTTCTCTTTATCTCATCAAATAAGGTGAGAGCTTTTTGCCAATATGGAAATGAGGAAGGAATAGCAGTTGTTGTACAACGTTTCATGTCTATTCTTTCAAAGCATCCAAGAGACGTGGTAATAAAACATCTTAATTTGCTGAAGGAATCTTTCTCAAAACCTTCTCCCTCTTTTAGCCAAGGACTAGAGGTAAATGTTGGAACTAGATCCAAGTAATGCAAAGCAAAATGACATTTGAAAAAAATGTATTCGATGGAGTCAGAATCCATATGGTAGATCCAACGGAAATTGGTGAATGATGTTTGCAAGCCAATGGAAGTGGAAAGAAGACCCCAAAGGAATAGTTTGATGCGTCACGAACACTCAGACTCCACAGTCATTCAGCCATCTCAGTTCTCATCTGAGTCACAATGCCTATCTCGCAAAAAGTTGGAAGGGCCTTTTGAGATAGTGGCATCCAAGAGTATTGATGTTAATAAAAATAGATCATTTGGAAAGAGGGATGTTGGTAATTCGAGAGTCGTTCCTGATGTCAGAGCATTGATGTTAAGAAAGACCATTTGGAGAGAGAAATGTTGTAATTTGGGAATCGTCCTAGATGTCAGTGAAGGTATTGGAACTGATAAGTTTCTTAAGACTATATTTAGCATTTTCTATACTTAGAACAAATACTTTTCCAAAGTGTAGGATAAGTTTTTGAGAGAGATATTTTAGGAGTGAAGAGTGCCTGGCGGATATGATCTTGACCCATAAAAGTGTGAACAATGGCAGCACTACTAACATTGAGAATGAGAAGGATAAGTTTGGCATCAATAGAATTTCTAATTGGAGAAAGGTCTTAAAAGTCAAGGCCTACACAAGATTTGGCGAAGGTGATATTGTTCTAACTGAAAGTCTTAACTTTTTGGATGCATTAGAGTCTCTCTAAAAGAAACTCATAGAAATGTTATTGTTTTAAGTAAAGAGGAAGAGAGTTGAGAATAAAATTGATGAGTATTGTTTTACCTACCTGCGAAATCATATTCGTCTACCAACCCTGAATTTAGAGATGATTTTGTTAATTAATCTATCTTGAAAAGGTTGAAGAAGATGATCACGAGAGATAATGTTATAAATTTTTAGTACATATATATGTTATGATATGTGGTATAAAGGTTAATGAATGTGCTATGATCTTTAGGTCGGTAAGTATGACGACCGTGTTGACGCCAATGCCCTCATCTACCTTGCAGCCATCCTTGAGTACCTCGTTGCTGTGGTTTGATCCCTTACTCTTCAAAGCTGTGATTTCGATTTTTTTCTTTGATCTGATATATATTTCGATTCTTTTAGGTCCTGGAGTTGGCTGGAAATGCAGCGAGGGATAACAAGAAGAATAGGATCATTCCGAGGCACATCCAACTTGCTATCAGAAATGATGAGGAATTGAGCAAGCTCTTGGGAACTATCATGATTGCCAGCGATGGTGTTTTGCCTAGTATCCATTAGACCCTCTTGTCCAATAAGGCTGGGAAGGGGAACGGGGACAATGGATCTGCGTCACAAGAGTTTTAAGATTCTTGTTAGTTTACATTGACTCATAATAAGATCTTGTAAGAGTTTGCTATATTTCCGGTGGGAATATGGTATATTCCATATACATTGGCTCATCCTATCATGCAGTAAGCATATTCCATATACCATATTCCCACCAGAAACCACAGCAAACTCTCGTAAGATTTTGCCTTCGTGATGAGTCAATATAAGCCAGCAAGGATCTTAAAACTCTTGTGACGCAGATCCATTGTCTCCTTTCTCCTTCCCAGCCTTAGTGGGCAAGAGGGTTTGATGGATAATAGGCAGAACACTGTAGCTGGCAATCGTGACAGTTCTCAAGAGCTTGCTCATTTCCTTATTGTTTCCGACGGTAAGTTGGATGTGCCTCGGAATGATCCTATTCTTCTTGTTATCCCTCGCCACATTTCCAGCCAACTCCAGGACCTAAAGGAACCAAAATACAAATCAGATCAAAGAATAAATCAAAATCGTAGCTTTCAATAATAAGAGATTAAACCATAAACCTCTGCAGCGAGATATTCCAGTGGTGAGGAGTGCCATACTTAGCGGATATAATCTTGACCCAAAAGTGTGATCAATGGCAGCACTACTAACATTGAGGATGGGAAGGATACGCTTGGCACCAATGAAATTGAAGGAGGTGATCATGAGAGATAAAATCTCCAAATAATGAATGGGCAGTTCCCCCTCCCTAATGCCAAGGAGATTTTAGATATGCTGACGGGTGCTTGGGGGGGTTGTATCTGGGATAGGAATGCAGGAGAGGTGTCTAACTTAAACCACTGATGATGACCAAATGTATCTTCAGTGAAACCAATAACGAGTCCTAATATCCTCTCACTTATCACACCTTTCTCGTTGCTCATTCTGACGATTGCCAGTTCTTTGATCATCCACCCAACTACAACTACCTGACTGCATGGTTTGACCTTGTTTGCAAAAAGAGCAAAATGTACAATATATTTTACACTTGATGTGATTCAACTTCTCAAGCCCTCCAAACATTTGTTTGGGTGTTTATCAAGGGGAAGTGTTATTAGAGATTGAGCCATGGTGTCCCGATTGGAAAGCAGTGGAAGAGCATGGAGACATTTGCATTGAACACCAGCAACTGCAAAATTGTGTCACCAGTATGTACTAAAGAACGAACTAACATCCCTAAGCACACACATCATTGATGTCAGCGAACATGCTTTTCTCCGACGTCTTCGGATCCTCGATCAGCAACGTTCTCTCTACATCGCGAAGCTCTTCCCCATCTCAAGTTCTGTCCCAGTCTTTCTTCACTGACCATGTTAGTTGCTATGATTCAAACAAGTGATTGGCCTCGGCCCTTACCATTCTATGCGTGACCTCCTGCATCATCTTCTCCCTCAACGATAGTCTTGTTGGCGGCGATGGAAGTCTCTACTGCATGTTCGCCACTTTGAAGGCCTTCTGGTATCGAACTAGGTCGGCATAGATGATGACAGAAGCAAGGTGTTGAGGGACATGAGGATAGACTTACTACAATTTAATTACTTAACAAAATATTGTCATATTACTGTTTCCAAAAGAAAAATATCAAACTTTGTATTGAATAGCCAACTTAAGTGTATCTAGATTTAGTGAGTCAAAAAAATAATCTTTGAGACTTTTTTTGACTATTCTTTTCTAGAAAATTAAAACAAGTTACTTACTACATCTATTATCAAGAAATTTTTAAAAAATATCTTAATTTTAAACTTTGATAAATCTTTTCTTGAAACAGTTGGATAATTTATTCTATCTTTGAAAAGGAAATCCCTATATAAAATTTACAAAAAATTCTGAATTTTAAATTAAAAAGTTGATTTATTTAATAATCAAAATAATAATAAATTTTAAGTTTCAAATTTTCTGATATTTATATTTAAAATAAATCAGGCAATTTTTTTTTGGGGAAAATTATTTCGGGTTTAAATTCGTATTGTTTGAATTTGAAGTGAAGTTTTGGATTTTTCTAAATTTTAGAAGTAAAAAATAAGAATTCTTTAAATATGTTATTTGTTGTTTTGTTTTTGAATATATTTACTTGTTAAAGACATCTTTCTTAAAACAACATTATAAACAATGTTGCCATATCTAAAACTGCTACAAATTTTTTACAATCATTTAAAAATTAATTCTTGTTTTTCTTAAGACAAACAATCTTGCATTTGCTGCTGTTGTTCTAAATCGAATATTCGATACGTTACTGTCCAAACTTGATGTTTATTGTTTTAAACTATATACATCTGATTCTATGCATTTTAAAAGTTTCAAAGACTTGTCTTACATTTTGATCTTTAGAATTTTTGTTTTGGTCCAGTTAAATACAATACTAGATTGTTTTCCGTATGCAGTAACTATTGTTCTAAGTTAAGGAGGAAGGGGAATATCCAGGATCCCCTTGCAAGAGTCCAGAAAGATCATGAACTCAGCTATGAACGTTGTCATGGAAGGCTTTGCTCAACAATGCCACCAACGAATTAAGGCATGTAGACTATCCAACCTTCAAAGTCAATACTTAAATGTATAAAGAAAATTAAATTATTTATCATGTGAAATCAATTACAAGTACACTAGAGTTAATCCCGACTCAAACACAAACCACTTGTATACCCTTTTATTAGTGTAAAATTTAGTTGTTTAATCTATATGCAGACTCCGAGCTAATCAAAGTTCCTTCCACATATGTCACAGTTCAATCTCAATTGACACCACACTTATTTGACCTTGAGGGTATCGAACCCTTCCGACTCTATGGAGATCGAACCCTGTCAAATCCAAAGAGGTTGAATCTTGTAGAACTACATCACGAGCATTCTTGACAAATGTCATTCCAATACTTAAGTTAGTTTTGTATTTAGAGGATTCAACGAAGGGCTTCAATAGCATTTAAAAAAGTCCTTAGGAGTACATATAGGGAGCTCTTTTATAATGGACCATGATTACTTCTATAATTAATGTTGATTATGAGGGGCGGTTGTTGAGGTATAAGTCATGTGTCAATCATATGTTGGTCATATGCCGACCATATGTTGGTCACCTGTCAACAATCACATGACACTAAGGTGGCAGCAACATGACATTGACGTTGCCATTTGGTACTGATGTGGTAGTCACTAACATTAATGTGACATCCACATTATATGGATGGCATCCACATGGCACTGATGTGGTGGTGAGGTGTTAGCCCCATCATCGATATAATTTTCCCATACCCCCCACTTTTCGAGTTGGGGAGTAAAGCAAAATCAGGTTAGGAAGTACTTGCTTGATTAGTTGTTAGCACTAAAGTTTGGATGGGTCCTTATGGCTGATGGCAATGCTCGATGAGTTGATAGTGTCATGTACTCGATTAGGCCACATGCGATGGTGTCTAGTGGATTAGGCGAGATAGCGCACGATGAGCCTACTAGGCTAAGCATGATTATATGCAATGGGTTGACTAGGCCAAGTGTGGTGGCGCACCATTGGTCGACTAAACCTGACATGGTGGTGCACGATGACCAACTAGGCAGGGAGCGATGATGCACAATGGGTCAATTAGGCTAGGGGTAGTGGTGCACAATGGGTTGACAAGGCCTCACACATCATTGATTTATATGCTATAGGTCGTTCTATCACGAACTTAGTTGATTTTGTCTAAGTTATGTGTCACCCTTGCATGTCCGTCCACAAAGGTCAACCTTATGTCACAAACTTAGCTGATTTTGCCTAAGTCATGTGGCACCCTTGCATGTCCATCCACAAAGGTTAGCCTCCTCGAAATCCCCTATGGTCCCTTAGGACCTATAAAAGAGAAATGAGTTAGAGAAAGCATTTCACTCGGGATCTATAAGTAACCATTTTAGCAACACTTTATAGCCAATATAATTTACAAATATAAACTTCATAAGCTCTGAACGGTCGCACAACAAAGGATCCAAAATGGTCAACTATAAACCGAAATACCCATAAGTGCCCATACGATACAACCTTCGATTATAAGTCTAAAGTAGCCACTAAAGCCAATGAAAATAGGGTTGTTAACCCTATGGTCTCAAATACCTCATGCTGCTTGAACTCGGTGAGCATCGCCTAACATACTTTAATATTTTTGGGTCCTTCCTCCACAAAATCTGCACATCGACTCTTCTTTCACTTACTTGCCACTTCCAAGTAAATTCATATCACTTCCGCTTTCAATTGGTATTCTATTGAGAAATGAAGCGGACAATCTACTCTTAGTAGCACCAATCACAGTTGGTGAGGATTTGACAACTATTGTCTTCCATTAGGTTTCTTCGAAGGGTCATTAAACTTATACCTACTCATGTTCCTTAGCACCTCACCTATTTATCATGTAAAATATTTATATAGTTTGATACTTATTGGCTAAATGTATAAAGAAAAGTAAACTATTTATCATGTAAAATCAATTACAAATACGCTTGAGTTAATCCCGACTCAAACACAAATCATTTGTATACCCTTTTATTAGTGTAGAATTTGGTTGTTAAATCTAGATGTAGACTTGGAGCCAATCAAATTTCCTTTCACATCTCTCACAGTTCAATCTCAATTGACACCACACTTATTTGACCTTGAGGGTATTGAATCCTTCCGACTCTATAGAGATCGAACCATGACGACTCTGAAAAGGTTGAACTTTACTGACCCTAAAGAGGTTGAATCTTGTAGAACCACATCAGGAGCATTCTTGACAAATATTATTCCAATACTTAAGTTAGTTTTGTATTTAGAGGATTCAACCAAGGGCTTGAATAATATTTAAAAAAGTCCTCAGGAGTACATCTAGGGAGCCCTTTTATAATGGACCATGATTACTTCTATAATCGATGTCGATTATGATGGGTGGTTGTTGAGGTGTAAGTCATGTGTCAATCATATGTTGGTCATATGCCAATCATATGTTGGTCATGTTA